TTGATGTGGATCTTTGATGTGATTGCATGTATGTTTTGTGAGTTGAATCCAGACTTGAATTTGTGAATGATTATATATATACTTTTGAAGGAAGCCGCACTGTGATTGTGAGAGTGATCGTCTCCTATCTCATAACTTTTATATCATATTTTCTTGTGTCCGCACGACCCATTGAGGTCGCGCACAGCGACTAAATAAAGTTCTTCATCGAGAGAAAAGAGAGATCACTTCTTAGCTCTTGCTTTTCAGAATTAGTATGGTTGGACGTTGTAGTCTGTGCCAACCGTCAAAGTCAAATCCCTTGATCTCTGCACATACCTCCCCTGATGGAGCATGGTGCGAGAGCCAAGAGCTTGGCCGCCACAACAACCCTGAGGCTGTCTACTCTCCACAGGGTTCAGAAGAGGGTGTGGTCTTCAACCGCACTTGGCGGTTGTCTAGCGTCGAGAGGGTAACTCCTCAAAGCGCTTGTCAGCCGACACTTGAGTGTCGAACACGACCCTCGAGATTATCAAGGGCCGCGCGGTTACAAGTACTACGTAGTACCCCATCAGTGCGAGCGCTCACATGTGCACACATGGCTGGTCAATATGAGAAGGTCATGCGCCCGCCCAGCTTTTTATGCTAAATTCAGCGAGCGAGGCCTATCCGATTTCCGCTTCGAAAAGTTATGGGTTGGATACTGAAAGGACTAGGACTGTTGTTGTGTTGGTTGTGTTATTGTGTTGTTGTGTTATTATGTCACTGTGTTGTTTGTTTTTGTGTTCCTTCATGTATGTGAGCGATGTGGTGTAACGCGTGGTGTGTGTGATGCGTCCTAGTCGACCGGCACCGAGTCGTCTCAGCCCCTCAATGCGTCGATTCACGTGCGGGTTCGATTTTGGGCGTTGACCGCGCGTACACCCTATGCTACAACGAACGAGAAACGCCCAAGGCTGGGCCACCTCTGCAATTGCATACGAAAAGCCTTCGCATGTGGTTCAGTAGCTCGACGGGGATACGCCCACCTAAGGGATGGTGACAGCTCCCGCAGGTGGAGGTAAGCGGTGCCTCACGCGACCCTGTCCTGTCATAGGGACTCGCGAGAGGTACGGCTGGCGCACTCGGCCGGAGCGGCAAAACGCTTTCCGTGACAAGTCATGCCAAATCCTGCGTGACGCGGCCGGGAGGGTCCCCGTGCGGGACCGATGCACTCGACAACGCCCAGCCGGACAATTTGGACACAAGGTGATAAGCGAGAGGCTGGGCCAGTCTAGGCCACCAGTTTGCACTCAGGGCCCATGAACGAACCGTTCACTCCTCATGAAAGCGACAGGAGGAGGAGATCAAAATAAGAGTGTTGATAAATATAATAATAATAATAATAATAATAATAATAATAATGATAATAACAATCGTAAAAAAAAGAAAAAATGGTGCTTCAAAGTTCTCTTGCGCCGCAACCTCACCAAAAACCATTAGACACCAAGGCGCTCGGACAACGATCTAAATCTAAGCATGGATCCGAAGCCCAACACTCGATCTTTTTTCATTTCCTTTCTCCATTTTTTTATTTTATTTTTTGCACCTACCCCAGACGCGTGGTTGAGAAAACCGAGCCGACTATCGCTATCCCACTCCTGCACTTAGCCCAAAACAGAGCCATTAGGGCCCGACGCCTGGCGAAGTACACCGTGCTACCCCCTTATCTATCGCGCTGGCAAAACCCGACAATCACTTCAGCTACAGGCTGGTCCGTTGTAGGGCAGGGCACCGAGCCTGTGCCGTACTACTTAAAGCCCAATAACGGGGTCTGTCAATTCTGCATGACCCAGCGGACTGGTACCGAGCTTGCAGTGAAGGTATGCGGGCAGGCATCCCGTACGCAGAGGTGAGCAAACGAGCGCCTGGTACGCAGCGGAGGGCTGGGACACCGCGCCCTCCGACATGATACCAAACCCCCGCCAAACGTCCTCACTGAGCCAAAACGACGTAGGCAATTTAGTATATAACAACAAGATTTGATAACGCACTCAATCACTTCCATTGTAACTTTTGCAGCGAAGTTCTTACTGTAGTTTTGCGCTAGCTAGCTTCTCACGCACCCACAGCGCACACGTCTCTCTTCTTTCTTCCCTTGCAGCATGCGGCAATTCTGTATGCCCTGTATATCTGTTCTCCTCTCTCTTCTCTAGTAGTCCGATCTTCTTGTTCTCAAACCTTCTTCTGATCTCCATTTTGCCGCGCCGTACCTTCTCTCCTTCTTCTTGCACCATGCCTGAGGTACGCGGAGGACGGGGAAGAGGGAGAGGTGGAAGAGTGGGGAAGGCTCGTGAAGAGCTGCCACCTCGCGCAAGGCGTGAGTACAACACAGAGGAGGAAGAGGAGAAGGTCCGAGGATATGGCTACACCTAACCATACCCGCGCCACTCACTTGCTAGTTGGCATGAAATAACTCCATCCCCGACGAACACGGAGTATTTTCATAAAAAGTTTTTTGAGGCGCGTTATGGCGCCCCAAGCCTCTCCCCCGTACTCCCCCAAAGCACCCACTACTCCCACGACAAGCAGGGCCCTAGTGACTGTACCGTCACCTTCTATTCCATGTATCGTTTCTCCCTCTTCTCATCTTAATAACTGCACTCTTCTTTGAATCTTCTTTCTTCACTTCAGATTGAGTTCATGGATGTCTTCTACATCCTATATAAGCGCGCTTTTCTCTCTAATTTCTGAATCTTTTCTTTTCAAGTCTCAAGTTCATGTCACACTTTATAACGTCCCTGGCTTGAGAGTTTGAATATCTTAAAGTGTGAACCAGGCCACTTGTTGGCCACCAAATAAATTTAAGAAGGATTTCTCATTTGTTGCTGGTTTGACTTCCCACTGAACTTTTTCAGCTAAGAAGTTACCTTGTTCCTTGTCTTGACAGTAATGCCAACGATATTGTCCAAATGATATTAACATTAAGGACACTCATTCTATCTGCCATGTTGAGGATAGAGTATACCAAACCCTTTTTCTGTTCTCTGGCGTGAGTGAGGCGTCTTCTCAACCTCTCAAGCATCCGAAGGGGATACCAAGCCCTATTCCCTTTCTCTGGCCTGAGTGAGGCGCATCCTCAACTTCTCAGATAAATAAAGGGGGATACCAAACCCCGTTCTCTTTCTCTGGTCTGGAAACTTTAGATTTTATTAATTAGTTGTTGAGTTAATGTACAGTTTGCAGACTCGTTACATTTTGTGCAGGCTCAAGTCTTAACCTACAGGCGTGGGATGTACTCAACAGAACTTTGAATAGGTTATGAAGCAGATTCAAAGGCAGAAACTGCAGACTGACAATAGGTGAGATTGGGATCTGTGGCATGAGGAACTCGATGAATCACTAATGTTCAACACCATTAAGACAAGCTTGAGGGCCTCATGCTCAAGACTCAGATACTCAGTGTCAATTCTCGCTACATTCCCTGAAGCAGAAAACAAATGAGCCATTTTCGCACATACATTTTTTTTATTTTTTTTTTAAGTAATCTATATTCTTCTCTCAATCTATTTCATCTTTCTTGGTAGTACGCATCTATCTCATTCTCTCACTAGTCTATTTATAGTACGGGGGAACACCAACCAACCCGGATCTCTCCCCAGCCCACAGGGTAGGTTTGCACCACAGCTGTGGTGCGAGAGCAAGGCTGTACCAGTCCCTCATCACGGTGATGAGGGGTGGGCATAAATGATAGTTAATTAAAGGTTGTATTGCTTGATTGGAAGATCCAGTTAAAGATTGGACCATGCAGAGTTGGAGGGGACATGCAAACACTTGCCTTGACCGTTCAAATTTTGTTTTTATCAAGGTTTGGAGATAATGAAAAATTATTGCGCCTACATGATTTTCTCGGGAATGCGGTTTTCTGTTCACAGTCACATGTTTGTTGCATCCCGCTTTAGTGTTTAGCAGGGAATGAACGAACTGCATCCCTGCGCAGTATTCGGGCAGGTGTTATGATCGCTCCCTTGTGTTGTGTTCGAACGAGCTGGTGCTGTGATCGTTTGCCTATATGGTATTCGAGCAGGGAACGAGGACTTTGCCCCGGTGCTGTATATGAACAAGGGCTGCACTAGGCCGCACCCCGTGTTCTATTCGAATAGAAGGTCAGGCAAGACTACGCCCCTGTTGTTCAATCTAAACTGGGACGGATCCTCGCAGATTACCGAGGGAGTTAATTTGAGGCAGAATCCAAAAGATCACTAGCAGGGTCAAGTGGGAACTGAAGACGACAGACTTTTATGAGAAACAATAAACTGCCCTGACATGTGGGAGACCTTTGCAAATAAAAACAGTGTCAGTCCACAGTAGATGCAATTCATCTTGTCAAGTTCAATTCTGTTCAGTGAGTTCGTAGCCAGTGAATGCAATCTCAAGCAAATTCAGTCTGGTTCTGAGTTCAAATCTAAATGCGGTTTTAAAGAGCAAAGTTTAGTTCAGTTCAGAACACAGATTCAAATACGATTTTCAGAGCAAGTTCAACCCCTTTTAAAGGCGAGGTTTTAGTGTTGCAGGCCTCAATGGAAACGTGGTATTGTAAACGCCTGTCTTCAACAACGATACCTCTTTCGGTACTAAGGGCACAATTTTGAGTAAGCTCAGACCTCATGCAACAACCGCGATTTAAGGACAGATCTTGCATAGTGAAAACAGACTCAGAACAACGGACAGAACACAATCCATTTGAGTTGATACCCAATACTGAGAGACAAGCGCCCTCACAAAGGGAATTGTGAGTCACATATCAACTTCATCGCAACACGAGTTTAGTATTCGCTCATTCAATTTCGGTGATTTTTGTTGAATCTCAACATCTTCAGTTCAGTGTCAGTCAACCCAGTTTTAGTTTTCGGTGGAGATTTTTAGTACGGACTCATATCATTTTCAATAAGTTCACTGCAGATTCAAAAAACTAAGATCAATTTGAGTAAGGCCAGTTCAACATCGGTGAGTTCTGTTTCATCTCAGTAAGTTCAGCTTGACGTTGATTCCAGATCGAAGTGTGGCTTTCATGGAAAAGTTTTGTTCAGTCTCAGTGAACTCAGTTGCTGGGTAGCACCGCGTACACGTACGTGGGCTCTGCATACGTGCATACGCGTATACCCAAATTTCGGGCCCGCATATGTGGTTGCAGCGGGCCATTTCCCGAGCTTAATTGGAGGGTGGGCGGGGGGATGGGTCGGGGCCAGAGCAGGGTTGGGGGGTAGTGTTGGGGGGAAGGTAGACCTTCGAAATCGTGGCGGGAAGGTCTTAACACCCCCCCTCGTTACCCCCGGACCCGCTGTGTGTGTGTGTGTGTGTATGTGTGTGTGTGTGATCGTCGTCGTCTTCCACCTCCATATCCTCCACCACCTTCCCTCCTCCATCGTCTCCACCTTCCTGTCCTCTTTCCTCCCTATCGTCGCCCTCCTCCATCTGCCCCACCTTCCCGTCGCCATCTTCCACCCGCTCCTCCCCACAGTCATCTTCCCCCGCAATCATCGTCCCGTCACTGTCGTCGTCTTCCACATTTGACTTCGGAGAGGAGGCGCGGGAATCATTTTTGGCTCTCAAAGCCGCGCTTTTATCTGCAGAGGTTTTGCACATTTACGACCCGCTTTTGCCTACGCGCGTCACTATGGATGCGTCCGGCTATGGCATTGGTGCCGTCCTCGAACAACATGATGGTGTGGACTGGCACCCGGTCGAGTACTTCAGCAAGAAGGTGCCCGTAGTGCATTCCATTGACGATGCACGCAAGGAGGAGCTCCTCGCCTTCGTCCACGCGCTCAAGCGGTGGCAGCACTTCCTCCTTGGTCAAAGCCAATTTTGATGGGTAACGGACAACAATCCATTGGTCTTTTACAAGACCCAAAACACCGTCAACAGCACCATCGCTCGATGGATGGCTTTCATCGACCTATTTGACTTCTTTCCCGATCGCATTCCTGGGAAGTCGAACCGTTTTGCAGATGCTCTTTCACGACGTCCGGATCATTCTACCGCGGTCTACTCAACCTTCGAGATCGACGATCACCTGCGGAACAGCTTCATCCGCGACCACCAAGCCGACCCCGAGTTTCGTGACAAGTACGTGAATTGCTCCTCTCCTAATCCGGCGCCTTCTCACTACCGGATCCAAGAGGGGTACTTGCTTGTCCACACGCGGGGGAAGGACCTTCTTTGCGTACCGAGTGATCCTCACTTGCGTACACGGCTTCTTGGCGAGTTCCACGATGCTCCCGCCACCGGACACTTTGGAGTCAATCGCACGATTGGCCGACTTCGCGAGCGATTTTGGTGGCCCGGCCTTCTCGGCGACGTCACACGCGATTGTGAGTCATACGAGGTTTGCCACCGCTGCAAATCCCACAACCATCGTCCGTACGGCGAGTTACGACCTTTACTGGTCCCGTTGAGGCGAAGGGAAACAATTGCCATGGACATTACCGGCCCGTTCCCCAAGCACAAGACCGGAGTGGATGGGATTCTCACGGTGGTCGCCCCCAAAGTCCTAAGCACAGCCTAAGTCCCAACCCCGTAAGTTTCTAAGGTTATCGGGGACAGGGTTTTGAACGCTTTAAGTGAGAGGTTTTCGTATGGGGCACGAGGCATTTGGGGGCACTGTCGTCCTGCCTACAACCAAACCCAACGCAGAGGATTAATGATTTAAGTGACACTTTAGCAAGGCCTAATCATAACCATCTTGAACCTTACGAAGACTCTTTGTGGCAGTACAGCTGTGTGGCTCTGAAAAAGTATGCCTCTGCAGCCGTACGCATGATCGTACTAGCTCAAGGTTGTACCGGTTTGCTGGTTCGGAGAAAGCATGATGGAACGTGGGGGCTACGTATGTATGCACGCGAGCTGTAATAGAGTGAACCCGCCTATGCACATCTAAAACCACTGGTGCTCGATCAGCACATAAAGTTGTCCCTTCGCCTCTGTCTCAAGCTCGATCAGCAGATGTTATCTTCGACATGCCCCAGTCTCCTCCCCTGATTATAACGAAGTAATATAACTGGGACTAGAGAGGAGACACAGTTGGTCTTATGGCCAGAGAGCGCCATGAACTTAGTTCACCAATCGTGGCAAAAGCCACGATCACCCGCTGAACTTTTGTGATTGGAGCCTCATGCCACCCAAGGAACAGAAAACATGATTATTCAACTGCTTTACTTTTGGTTGCTCAGTTTATGACTGTAGATCTCRAAGTGTCGAGGCTACCCATCTGTACATTAGGTGATCTGATTGAGATGGGGGCAACTGCAGGCTGTCTAACATTGTGTTGAATTCCTTCTTGAGAGAGGTACCGCTGAAATCTGCAGAGAAACYGATAAGACTCCCATCACCCTGTYTCAGCGCGSCCTAGCGGTGGTTTACTACTAYGAGTCCTRGTAACCGGCCAAGCTGAAGGARGTTCCCTTCTGTACCTCCCCCTCAAAATGAACGGACTCTGTCTTGAAAGGGGGAAGTGATGAGTGMGCCAGCCTACTATCTGAGAGACCAAAARTCGGAAGAAGGTGGAACCCGCAATTCCTCTTTCGTCAGGTCTTTCAAAGTGAAAAGATCSGAGATCTGTTGGTAGTCGAGTGACTTGGGGAGCTTGGAAAYACTCRGTTGMCCAAGGGAAACGCACCCTTGAGTTCTGTCTCTTATACACATCTAGATGTGTATAAGAGACAGCTTGGAAACACTCGGTTGACCAAGGGAAACGCACCCTTGAGTTTTCCCCTCCATTTCTCAGCTACTGTTTAAGTACCCTGACCAGCAGCATTTAGATTGGCCTTGGCAAGGGAACTCAACTCAGAGTCGATGACCATACTACCTTGTATTCAACGTCCTACTGAGATCTGAATCACGGGATCATAACTGAATGATGAAGGACACGGAGATTCTGGTGATAAAGCTCAGCTCTATCAGAGATAAGAAGGAGAAGTGGGAGGAAAGTTCTTATCAGACCATGAAATCTCAGATACAGATGCTAAGGGGATTTGCCGTTGCGATGGCAGAAAGGAAGAAATATATTGAGTACGTGGTTTACATTGATGGTAGTGATGGCAAGTTACACAGCACCAACTCATGGCTAGAATCAGCGGAACAAGCTAGGGCAATGCTCAGGTGAGCACAGGTATACTTGGACACCTCACCCGAGATACCCACCAGCATTTCAAAAGCCAAGGGTCTCATTCAGCAGCCAGCTGTCCATTCAGCTTTCAGCAGCCAAGTGACCAGTGCTCAGTGGTCAAGTAGCATACAATCAGGTTTTTTTTAACCAGCATTCAATCAGGTGATCAGTCAATACACAATCAGTGTTCAATCAATACTCTGTTGATGATTCGGATGTTAGATACCAGCTAGCGAACTGCAGTTGCACTCGGTCTTTGAGTGCTCATTGTATAGTGATTTACTAGTCCAACTGATCTTATCCAGCAATCTCAAATAGTATTCGGTTCTCTGCCCGAACCAAACAGCTTTCGGAGAGGACGTTGAGCCATCAGGGTCTAGCTAGCAAGACAGGCAATCCAAAACACATCATTCAGCGGAGTCAGGCGAGACGAGGGGATTATTGGAAACTAGCCGTAAAATCATTCATCACACGAGTACGGAGCAAATTTCCCCAATCAGTGAGTATGTTCTGATCAGTCTCAACAGAATCTCTTCCAAGGATGCTTTTCCATATCAGTATGTCAACGCAACCAGTTTCAAGAAGGGAGATCTGTCAGTGTTCACAGTCCTCACCAGTTTTGCAGAGGGTACCATCTACTATTTGAGATTGTATGTTAAGAAAGGCAAGGAAACCCATGAGTATTTCGACTCAGTCTGGACTGCAGCAGCCGGGTACCTGGAAGAGAGAGAGAGAGAGCTCGACGAGAGCGATACTAAGCTGATCCGCAACTTTGGGCCTAAGCTCTACTCTGACTATCCCAGGCCTCCAGTGCCCTTTACTCTCAGAGACGGCTCCCACTGGGGTGACTTGATTGACCTGGCAAAGAGGTACATCTCCCCTGCAGCGATAGACTACAAGACAATAACCGAACCTTTCGGGTTCCCGCATCTCAGACGGGGGATTTTCTCTCATCCATACCTTCCTGCAGTATGGGAGGAGTTTTGTGCCATGGTTGACTTCCGCATCATGGGACTTGGATGGAAGTGCTCAGAACTAGCAGGTTTCAGGTGGCTCTACATTCAGAGGCCACAGACTCAGAAAGTAGGGGGACATGGCTCGAGGCACAAAAAAGGCACAACAAAGTGAGAAACTGAGTGTGAGATTCAGAGGGATGAGTGAGGGCTCTTGACTGGTGCTGGTCGTATTCCCCACATGTGTACTTTCTGAGGGTATTATAAGTTCTCATTCCTCCCTCACCTGACTTTGATTTGCCATTGCTCGAGTCAGTCAGTCTTGCCTCTTGCATTGCCATGCTTGATGATTGCATTTCTCTGAAGGTTTTGTCACAGTTCTCAAAATCAGATTGTCACAATTGATGCATGTATAGCACTCCATAATTTTTATGATTATTATTTGCATGATTCTCAGCAGTTCCGAATCAAAATAAAAGATTCCTAAGACCGGGGACCGACGAAGACCGCAGTTGAAGGGTCTCGCTCGAAGCCGGACGCACACAATAGGAAGGGATTTGCATTATTTAATTTATTTTTATTTACAGCAAAAGCATCCAAAATCCTGCGTGACAGCCTGTTGGCTTTCTGGTCGCCTGAAGCGGTCCGACTGGAAAAAAGTGCGATAAAAATGGCGCCGTTGCCGGGGACATGAAAAATATTCGTGTCCGGAACGAGCCTGGGTCAGCAAACAACTTTAAACTTTGATTAGGCCTTGAGAGCTGTTGACGATTTCTGAGTTTTCCAAACTCGTTTTGCAATCTTTTCTTGAGTTACTCTCTTGAGAAAGCCTAGTTGCTAACCGAGTCTTATCTTTCCTTGTGTGAGGTACCACACTCGACTGGAGAAGGAGACTGATATTACTGACTGGAGAGAATCAAGCTTGATCTCAGGTATGCCTCATGAGCCTATGATGTCTATGAAACATTGAGAAGAGAAAGAAAGAATCGAGGGCTCAGAGACCTCGTCAAGAATGCTAGAACTCTCGAAAGTAACTACCAAAGGAATATTCCCCTATCAGTATGAGCATTGTTGGGTCTACCGTTCTAGCAATTCGGCCATCAGCGTAGTGCTGACTCACTTCTTGGAAGGAGATATCTATGATATTCGTCCTTATGTCAAGAAGGGAGACTGTGACGAAGGTGAGACCTTTTACTGGCTATGGGGAACTACGATCCAATCTTTTTATGATGAGAAAGCGGACCTAATCAAGCAGAAGAAGAGAGTGGAATGGGTTGTAATGCCAGTAACGTATGAGACTGTTCCGATCCCTCCTATTCCGGACAACTATTGTGACAGGAGCAATTGGTTACCAATCATCAACATGGTACTGAAATGGGAAAATTAGGTGTACTGTCATGAGAACGGGGGATATCTCAGCAGATGCAATCGAACAGCGAAGGTCAAAATTTGGTAGAGGTTCAGGGCCGAGTAATGAAAGGGTTGAAAGACTCATGCAATCGTTGAATGTTATAAGTAAGAGAGAAGTGTTTCCATATGAGGCTGTAAGATATAAGATGGTCGAGAGTGGATGGGAGCAGAAACGGTTCTATGTACTGACGTTTCACTTCATAGACCTGAACATGTATGATGTGAGGATTTATGTCCCAAAAGAAAGAAGTGTTGATGCAGTGTATGGGAGATGCTCGAGATTTGTTGAAGAGGTTGTATTGAAAGAGAAAGAGAGACTTGAGAGAGAGACCAAATGCTTCACTGGATCTACTTGATTTACTGTCTTTGATGGACTCCCAACTCCTCCCTTACCTGATATCAATCCTTCGAGAGACAATTGGTTTGCCATGATAAATTTTGCATGGGAAGTGAAGAGAGCCAAAAAAGAATACTCTCAGTAGCCAGGATAACTACTGTGAGAGGTGAACTCTATGAGGTGAACTCTATGAGGTGACAGGGTATGATAATCCCTTTGTAATCCTGAGGCACGAGACTTGTGGGAAAGGACATATAACATTTCATATTCCTGTCGTCAAATTTCTGAACTCTGACAGTTTGGATGTGAGGGTTTGGGGTATTTAAAAGGGGCGTGTGTCAGTCTTGAGCGGACAAAAGAATGGCTAGAGAAGCTAAGAAGGAAAGTAACATGGGGAGTGGGAGTAAGAGAATTTGAAAGGCTCCCTGCGTTCACAATTGCTGAGGGATTCGAAGATAGAAGAGATTGGATGCCTCTGCTGGAGGCTATTGCTGAGATTGGTAGAGCAAGGGAGAAAGACTCTACTGTGATGATAAAATCCTTGCTTTTGAGTACCTTTGAGCACAGGTTCGAAATCCCTGATTATGTCCAACCTGAGATCTATCTTTCAGATGTTTCCTATGATGGTTAACGATGCCCAGCTTGGTTGAACAGTTAACATTCGGGGTTGTATTGGAAGGAAGAATAATCGAGATAGAAGAGACTCTTCGGATCTCTGACATGAATCTTTCTACCCTGGATGAGCTTGAGTTCTTGCAGCCTTTCTTTGATCGAATGAGAGATTCTGCCCTAAGAATTGTCATTGATAAGACTAAGATAAGCTATTTATTAAAGGTGGTGAAAGTGGGTACTGCTGAGAGGATATCATACCACACTTCTAGGGAACGAGTCTCTCTCGCCAGAAGGATCAACATCGGGTTGTAAGCAATGCAATTTGATTATGAGATCATAGACTTGACCCAATATTTTATGATTCGGGGTACTGTAAAAGGGTATAATAAAAGACTGAGTAGGGATGATGAAAGAGAGTTGATTGAAGATTACATTGGAAGGCTGAGGAGGATTGCTTTGCCTTTGATCACTACCCAATCTATTATTGTAGTGATACCCTTATGGCCCGACAATGAGGCCGGACCAGTTTCAGGTCGGTACCAGGTTGTCCCGTACTTGGACCTAGGCCGGTATATCACTTCGGCCTAGGCCCAGGGCGGGAGGTTTATTCATTCAGTGTTCATTCATCCATTGGTCGGACTAGACCTTCACTCAGTTGCTGCTTCTTGTGTGTGTCCATCTCCTCTCTCTCTCTCTCTCTCACCATCTCCGCACGTGCCCTCCGCACGTGCGTCACATTGGTATCGGAGCAAGTTTTTCGAACCTCTGCTCCCTCCCTCCCTACCCCTCTCGCTATCCTACCTCCGCGGATAACCATCTCCAAGTTCGCTCTTGCAGCTGCACCTGGCCCGTCAACGCGACCAGGTACGTTCATCATCCAAGCTTGCGCCTTTCTCGACGCCGGCACTACTCCAGCTGCTGCAGTCACCTTACCGGCTGTGGATGCCGACTTGCTGCCCTTCGTGCCCTGGCTCCTACCGCGTGACTTGCCCGATGAAGTGTCTGGATTGCGGCAACCACGACGTCCTGTGAGAAGTTCAGCGAACCTTACCCTTTGGAGGAAGGAGAAGTCGTAACAAGGTCGCCGCAGGAGCAGGTGCAGTCCCCCCTCCCAGCTGCGCCCTGCTTCCCCTCCCCAAAAATAACACTCCTCCCACCCCCAATTCCCCTGCGCGCACGTGCGCGCCATCCCGCCCCCTCACCGCCACACTCACCCACTGCGTCCCCATCCCACAATCCCGATACCTCCCCCGATCTCCCCC